TAGTTTATATTAAGCTCTTTTTTCAAACCAAAGGAGTTTGTGGTTTTTTGTTTGTTTTGGCATTCGGGACTTAGAAATTATTGTACAATATAGATTCTTAAACTTGAGAAGGATTTTGTTAATATTATTATAACAAGAGCTTCCATTTACCAAGCACGTATTGTATACTAGGAATCGTTTTGAGTGTTTTACGTGTTTTATCTTACTATTCAAGAATGGAAGGAATGAAGTACTGATACACTCAACAACGTGGATAAATCTCCAAATTGTGCTGAGTGAAAGAAGCCAGACAAAAAAAGAGTGCATATTGTGTGATTCCATTCTATAAAATTCTATTTTTTTTTTTTGAGACAGAGTCTCTCTGTGTTGCCCGGGCTAGAGTGCCGTGGTGTCATCCTAGCTCACAGCAACCTCAAACTCCTGGGCTCAAGCGATCCTCCTGCCTTAGCCTCCCAAGGAGCTGGGACTACAGGCATGTGCCACCATGCCCGGCTAATTTTTTCTATATATTTTTAGTTGTCCAATTAATTTCTTTCTATTTTTAGTAGAGACGGGGTCTCGCTCTTGCTCAGGCTGGTTTCGAACTCCTGAGCTCAAACAATCCGCCCGCCTCGGCCTCCCAGAGAGCTAGGATTACAGGCGTGAGCCACGGCGCCCGGCCGATTCTATAAAATTCTAGAAAATACAAACTAATCTCTAGGGACAGAAAATAGAACAATGGATGCCTGGAACAGGGCGGGGAGGGAGGAAGGGATTACAAAGGGACATGGGGAAACTTCCGGAGGTGATGGGTACGTTCATTATTTCAATTTTGTGATGGGTTCATGGGTGTGTAAATTTTTCCAAACGTACCAAATTGTACACCTTAAATATGTGAAGTTTATTGCATGTTAATTATAAATAAATGTAGCATTTTTTTTAAAAAAGGAAAAATGTAAAAATAACTTATGCTACCTTTCAGTAGGAAAATGGATAAATGGGCTGCGATTTATTCACACAGTGGAATTCTATGCAGCAGAGAAAATGAATGAAATACATCTACATTATTAAAACAATGATTAAAAAAGTAAGTTGCCAAAGAAAGGCAGTGTGACATATATTTAAAAATTTAATACTCATTACCACATTGTATGTTTTATGGGTGCATAAATGTGTAAACCTGGAATAATGCGCATGAACTTTAGTACCCCAGTTAATAAGGGGCAGGAAGGAGGAGGGGACAAGGGGTGGTGCATTAGCTGTGCTTACAGTGCTCAGACCGCAGCAAAATGACAACACTGCCCCATCTGCCAAATCTGGGTAGTGGAACACAGGCATCTGTCATATTATTTTCTGTACTTGTCTGCATGCTCAATATTTTTCATGGTTATAAAAAAAGTTTAAGTAATTCCCTGTTCCACTCTCAGCACCCAGTTCTCCTTGCCAGGGACAACTGCTGTTACCAGTTTCTCGTGTGTCCTTCTGGAGAGATTCTAAGTATATACCAAAGAACAGGGGTGTGTGTGTGTGTGTCTGTGTGTGAGTTATATCTATGCAAATTTTTACACATTTTTTAAAAAATCATATAAGTGACTAAATTTTTATATATTTCTTTTAAAACAAGACACAATATGGAGCACACTATATACGCTGCTCTATATCTTGCTTTTCTTACTCAACAAAACTTTGGAAATAGTTCCAACTTGGCACGCACAGAATTTCCTCTTTCTTTCTGATGCTGCTTAGTATTATTTCCTCATATGCACAATTAGGCTGTTTCCCATCTTTTACTGCTACAGACACATTGTAAACACACATTTTGCACATCTGTCTGGGTGTGCTACCTGTCCTTTAAAGCAGACTGTGCCACACCGGGCTGAAAAAAGAGTAACGAGTTAATGAAGGGGGTGCAACAGTTTGCCTCCTCATTCAATGACACTAGAGCAGCTGTCTTCTTATGCATCTGCTTTTTAGTATTCTATTTCCCTCTTGATATGGCGTTTCTGGCTGGCACTTTTCTAGTTGTTGGTGGCACCCTTTCTTCTGCTGTTTTGTTGCTTTTAAAATGGTTTAAGCTAAGAAGCCAAATGATCAAGATGGTTTGGACTGTGACTAAAGCAAGACAAAGGAGGTTCCAAGTAAGAGAACACAAGAGTTTTTTGGAGTCAAGGGTCTGAGCTTTACTGTGTGGACTTTTTACATATGTGCTGGCTGCTCTGGGTTTTGGCGGACTCCCCGGTTCCTAGGTGGCCCTGGGTAGGGGAGGTTATAGAACAGCTGCTCCATGCATCCCCCAGGGTGAGAAAGGGGCATGGCTTCGAGGTCTAATCTTATGGAGAAGCCACTAGGGGATTAACAAGAGACAGAAAGTGTTGCGTTCTGGTCAATGTCCAGCTGCAGTAAGAGCCAGTGCTCTTGACATCACTTTGAGGTTTTTAGAAGTGATTCTCTGTGTTCTAACAGGAGGGAAGGAGAAAGTCCTGAAGAAATGACAGCTCAGCACAGTGTGAGAAACTCATCTCCTCTTCCTTGGCTATACATTTTTACCCTCTTATTAAAATTTGTTTTTACATTATAAAACCATTTAATAGAGTTCTAGAAAAATCACTCCCCTGGAAAACTTGAATTATACTAATGATAATAGCAATAGTTTTGAATATTTATCATAGTTTTCAAAGTATTTTCTTACCATGGAGGCACGATAGCCTACTGGGTAAGAACACAGGCTCTGGAGTGAGACTTTCTGGGGTCTAACTCTGGCTCTACTGCTTACTGTGTGGCTTAGGGTAGCTTATTTAACTTCTCTGTGCCTTGGTTCTTATCTATAAAATGGAGGTAATAAAAGTACTTATTCACAGGGCTGGACAAGATTAAATAAGTAAAAAAGTGTATAGAAGTCTGAAATTAATGACTGACATACACCTGGTGAGTGCTTGATAAATGTCAGTTACTATGACTATTATTAGCGCAGTTGTAGTGGTAGTAAGAATTGGGGTAAATGGGCAGAGCTGATAATCTGATCAGTTGTTGGACTCAAGGATGGCAAAAAAGCACAGATGCATATCTTCCTTGGACAAGAAAGAGTAACTATATTAGGCAGACTACAGGGAGTTAAGAATAAACCAGTCAGGCGTGTGAAGTCTGCTTATGGCCACTGCCAGGTGTGAATGGCACGGCTGGCCTCGGTGGAAGGTTATGTCATTGCAGGGCATGATGGTGTTGAGGTTTCATGACACAAAGACTAAGCCAGTGGTTTCCTGGAGCTGATTGTTGAAACCAAGAGAATTAAACATGATAATCAGATAAAATGATAATTATGTAAATTATATTAAAAACAATAATAAATATTCAAAACTCATCACATCCTAATTATTTTACTACATTTACCTGTAATCTACGCTTTTGAGATTATTTTCATCTATTGTATCGTAAAGTGGGGGTGCTTTATAATGGTGAGTTACAGTACATCTCTTCCTGACACCATGTCCACTGACATTGCCTTGGGAGCTTATAACTGTCTGCGGTGGGAATATTTACACCACAACAATTGGCAAATGCTACAAACCGGAGCTTGATTTATTTTGTAGACCTAAGAAAATAATAGAGAAAAATGCTAATAAGGCAGATTAAACTTAAAAGCATATCGTGCCTGTTGCTGTTACATTGTGAAGGACACAAAAAATCGAAGAACTATTTTTTCAGTATTCAAAAAGATGCCTACATCTTTAACAAACTAGTAAAGTTCTGACACGTCTTCATTGTTTCACTTTGTCTCACTCGTTAACATTCGTGTCAGAACCACAGTCAATAGCTGGATTGGGATTGGCATGGAAGTGGATGAAGCCCAGAAGCTGGAATGAAAAAGAAGGTGAAGAAGTCTCTCTGCCAGGAAGGGGAGGCGGGGACAGCCTTAACCTCTGCTAACACCTTCAGGCACTTAACTGCTCTGGGAGGTGGAGGACTGAGCTCCCTACCCACATTTGGAGCTGGCTGGGCCCTAATCCCGGAATAGCTGTTGAAACTACAGAAAGAAGGTGGGAAAGTGAGCTGGTCTCTCCCAGGAGAATTGGGGAAACTAGAGGGCTAGACTCTGGGGTTCACACCAGGCAGGACACAGAAGGCCTGGGTGAAATGGCGGAGGCTGAGCCGGGGGTGGTGCAAATGAAGCCTGTTTTGCAAGTCTGCCGGCCTAAGGCCTGGGTGATGTGGGCAGAGAGGAAAAGTACCAGGTTCACTTATCACTTATCCATATGCTGAATTCCTTACTACTAGTGGATTTTGCATTGCAGGTGAGGGGATGCCCCGTAGTGTCCCCTGGGAAGGCCGGGGCAGAGTAACAGAGAGTGGGTGGGGCCGCCGCTGTTTGGGAAGTAAAAACAGGATTTCTCCCCAGCCCCGCCTCTCCCCTCCTTTTATTGGGAGATGGGCTTGCAGGCTTCTTCAAAAGAAAGATCTTTCTAGTTCATGTGTTGAGTGTTTCTAAAAAAGGAAGCCCTGCTCTGTGAGTTAAGGAGTGAACCACTCTGGCAGGGGAAACACCTGCAGGGGGCCCGTCTCTACGCGCGAGCCCAGTGTGTACACACCCCGGGAAAAGCACACTCCGTGTGAAGTCAGACAACCAGGTGTGTCATGCCAGTCTCGCTACTTGGTGGTGGCCTTGGGCAATAGCATCCTTCTACCTGAGCCTCAGTTTCCCCATCTATAAGATACTAGGGGTGAATTAAATGATCTCTAGTGACACTTCCAGTGCCAAAGGTCTGCAAGGCCCTGCAAATCTCCCCATGGCTTATATCTCTCTTTGGTATAAGCCAAGGTGCTGAGCTGCTGTGTTGAGCACCTTGTCCTCGAGGAAGTTCACATGCCAGGGAAGAATACGGGGAGAAAGGGTGGCAACAGAGCTAATGGGTGCAGGCTGGGGCGCGAGGGAAGTCCAGCCAGGCAGACATCTGACCAGCAGAGCTCCAGCTCTGTGTTAGGTGACAGGGCCACCCAGACACCAGCCCCGCCCCAGGCCCCCTTACCCTGCAGCATTGCCGATGTGGTGTAATAGTTGAACGGCACGTTTTTCACCAGGTATTCTTCGGGGTCGAGGCTGGCCAGCTTAGCGCCCACCAGTACGGACTTGCCGGTGCCTGCGGTGCCCACCAGCATGACTGGCCGCCGCCGCTGCAGCAGCCGCTCCATGAAGTAGCACACTCGGATGGTCTCACTCGTGTGCACCAAACAAGCCTGGAGCAGGAACACGTGGGTGTGCCAGGGGTGGGCTCGGGGAAGAAGCAGATGCACCACAAAATGTTCTGGAGCATTTCAGAAGAGGAGAGCTCCCCGAACAAGTGTAGGTCAGGAGCGTCTTCCTAACCTCCATGGTAGGACCATCGTAACAACTCACTCTTGGGGCGCCCCACAGCTGGGCAGGGAGCCTCCCACCCGCCTCCCCAACTCTCGTCTCTTTCCCTCCGATGTCTCTAATGAATCTGAAAATCTTCTGTCCCAGCCATCTCCCCGTCTCTGCCCCTAGGATGCCAGTTGGGCCTGGTATTTAAGTGTCTGAGCCCTTACGGCAGCCTGTGGCTTCATCACACCTGTGGTTTCCTCTGCAAAGGTGTGTAGCTGGTGGTGACCAGTTCCTAGCAAGACCAAATGCTTGGACATCGATGCAGGGTCACTGCTAAAGTCACTGCAGATCCTTCAGGACACCTGCACCTCCTTGGTCACTCGGCCACTCACCTGCAAGGGTATCTCCGGATCAAATTCAAACTGGGGGGTGAGCTTGGACCAAGGCTCGAACTTCTTGGTCTCTGGGTCTATGTAATAGTCAAAGACGGTCCCCTGGGAAGGAAACTTGACTGTCTTGAACTCCGTCAGCCACCATTTGCTGAACTCTGCCCGGTAGTCCACAAGCTGCAGAAACAAAGTCGGTCAGGGGATCAGGTCCTCCAGAACTCAGACAGAGGTCAGGGCAGGGGCACAAAGTGCCCCTTCCTTTGCTGGCCTGCTGGACGGACCAGCTGCCCCAAGGATCAGCCCTGGCAAGGCCCACCGTGCAGCGCCGCTCTGGAGCATGTGCAGGTGCCCTTGCTTGGCCACGTGGCTGAGCCATCCCAGCGTCGGCACATCTTACTGCCATTGAAGGAGTGGGGAGGGCAGGAGAACATGGAGGAGAGTGGGAACGTGCAGCCCCAGGATGGGCAAGTGTGGCCCAGGAACTCCTGAGGAGACAGACCCACCGCCCCATCTTCCCAGATGCCTGGGACTCTGAGCCCCTTCCAGGGAGGCAGTCTGGGATGGATGGAGTAGAATGGCGACTGCTGACACGGGGCGGGGGGCACAGTGTGGTTGAGTGAGAAGTGTCTTAGCAGGGGAGTCAGGTATGTGGCCACAGGCAAATCCCTTCTCTCTGTGCCTCAGTTTCCTCATCTATAAGACAAGCATCCTAGAAAAGATTTCTGATTTTAGCTCTTTCAAGAGCTAAAATTCTACAATCGAGGAGCAGCAGGAAAGACAAAGCTGTGCTGGTCTTTCTGACAAAGGAATAGGTAGAGGCATGTATTTTACATGCAAAGATATTGGACTATGAGCCCTTTAAGGATAGGGCTGTGCACACAGTGTACTCACACTATTAATATCTTACTGTGTCCAAGTCAGCACACACACTCAGTATACCCTATTGCTTATCAGAGGGTTGCTGATAAGCAACCCTCTGGAAGAGCAGACACATGGGAATAAGACAAATCCTAAAAATAAAAGAGGCCCAGATTGGGCATTTTAGGAAACATTCATGGAAGGCAGGACAAAGTTGGAGTTGAAAGCCTGGAAGGACCAGGAGCTGGGCGCATGGCGACAAATCTGAACTCTGAAGAAAGGCCGCTTCTCATTTTGCTGTTCATTAAGTAAGTAGGATTGAAATCTTTTACTTTAAAATGAGAACAGGCATAGGTCCTAAGATAAGGACAGATTCGTTTGCTGTTCTCATTCTAGTTTGAATTAGACCAAAAGAACATTGCAGCTTCCCAGCATTGTTCTCCCCAGTCAGAAGCCTCAGGGAAGGCCCCGCTTTTTAACTCATGGGTGAAATTCTTGAAGACCTTTTACGTTCTATGAAAACACGATATTATTATAGGTTTCTCCAGAAACTCTGAGATGAGGGCCACATCTGGAAAGAACGCAGTGAGGACCTTCTTTGTTCCTCACCCTCGATTCCACCTTCGAGCTACCTGGTCAATTTTGTCAACCCAGCCGTTGGCAGGGCCGACATTGTCATGCTCCTCTGTCATCTGGGGCGTGGCCTCACTTCCCGCTATACGTGGATGCTGTAGAGACAAGATGACCTCCCCTGGGCCAATCCAATGGTCCTTTCCCGATTCAGCTCTGTGGGCATCTCTTCAGCATGGACCGTAACGAACAGGCTCCTCCTGAAATTCACATCTCCTTTCGGATTCTGACAGTTCCCTGTTCCTCCTCTGCTTTCGACCTGATGACACTAAGACTTTACCATCATACTGTAGTGGAGTTGGGGACACAATTTCACTGCATTTGATCTTCACAATGCTCTAAATTACCCTGGCTTGTTAAAATGATCTCTGTTTTATACATGAAAAGACAGAGCTGGGAGTTAACCCCGGGTTTTAAGTCTCGCAATCTGGTGTTCTTGCTACCTCGTGCTTCTGAGAGATCATTTTCTGTGAGGGCTGCAATGTATACAGCCAGGACCATTTAAAAAAAAAAAAAATGGAACTTCTACTCGGGTATAGCCTCTGTTTTGTATTTCTGTTTTGCTTTAATGACAGCTCTTTTAATGTAAGCACCCTTGGTGTTCCTGATGCGAATATTTTGGCCAAATTCCTACTTTTCAATTTACGGCACTATTTTTGGTGTTTAGTTCTAAAGTGGGCTGTGTAGGGGTCTCGGACGTTCCCTGCTGCTAAAAGCTTTCTCCCTTCTCCTCTCCCCGCGTGCCAGCACGGCCGCCTGTAGCTCCAAGTGCTCCAGAGCCCAGGATACCTGGAGGGATGCTTTCTCCAGGGCTTTTAAAAAGAGTTGAGTGGATTTAAATTTTTCTATACAGAAATAGAAATTGACCAAGGATCTCCATCCTGAAACCCTACTGCCTGCTCCGCACCAATATGGGAGAGGAGCCCAGCGGTGGCCATCTGACATTTCACCAGCTGAAAGGTCACAGACTGCATTTGATGCAAAGCAATAACCTCCACATTCGGGGTCTCTGTGCATTCCAGCCAGGACTCACCCATCCTGCTGAACTGTTTGCACCCTTGCCTCAAGGGGAAATGTAAAGCTGTCGAAGCAGCAGTCTGCGGAGAAGCTCCCAGGACTGCAGAACGGACAGCACAAAATTCTCAGCCGTCAAACTCCTGGTCCAAGCAAACCCCTGCCCTTGGACATTTCCCCTTCTGCCCCCAGGGCATCTGGCTCTGGGGAGGGGACAGAGAAAGGCATCCTTCCTGGGAGCCTGTGAGAGCTGCTTTCTGAATATGGACCATCAAAGAACACGTTACAGAGTGATGGGAGGTGGAATGGATGTTACAGCTAGGGCCCATGAAAACAAAAAAGAAACTAATTGCTAATTCTTTTTGTCCCAGCTGACTTCCGTTTTGGATTCCTAGAATGTGGCTTTGCCTTGGGAGGCCAAAAGTTTTTACTTTTCTTTGAAAGACGCTCACAATCAACCCAGGCCAGAAAGAGTAAATTGTAGCTCTCCAACAGCTGCAGTTTAATCTGATCTCCCCGTTGTGAGAGAGGCACCAGATTCTAGCTATCAAACTGAATATTTATGCTAGGAGCATATTACTAATAAGCACATACGGATTGTTCTAAGTGCTTTGCACATATTCGTGCTGAGTAATTAGAACAGTACGTGTTCACTTAATCCTAGGAACTGGGACCACCATCATCATCCTCTGCACACATGGAGGAAATAAGGTAGAGAGAGGTTAAGTTACTAGCCCAAGGTCCCTGAGATAACAGTGCCAGAGTTACAATCCAAATCCACAGTCCATGTTCTTTTTAATGTTCATGTTGCTTTCCTTCAGTTTTTTAAAAAACACTTTATTGTGGCATGACTGATACACAAAAAGCTATGCATATTGAATGTATACAACTTGATGAATTTGAAGATAAGTATATACTTGTGAAACCATCACACAAACTATGCATAAAACCTGTCACCTTCAAAGTTCAAACCCATCACTGCCCTTTATTATTATTGTTGTTGTTGTTTTGTGGTAAGAACACTTAACATAAAATCTCCCCTCTTAGCACATTTCTTTAGAGGAGAAGGAAATCTTGCCATTTGCAACAATTTGAGGAGCCTGGAGGACATTATGCTAAGTGAAATAAGACAGGCACAGAAGGACAAATGCTACATGATACCACTTGTATGATGAATCTAAAATAGTCAAATTCATAGAAGAGAGAGGAATCGTAGCTGCCAGGGGTTGGGGCGGGGGGGAAATGGGAGGTACAAAGGGTACAAAGTTGTGGTTATACAAGATGAATAAATCCAAGGTAAATAAATCTTCTCTCTAGTATAGTACCTATAGTTAACAATACTCAATTGGACACTTAAAACTTTGCTAACAGAATCAATGTTCTTAACCTCTGTGTGATAGTGCCTGATAGCTAGGGTTGGTTGTAAGAGACTGGTTTGCATAATATTGAATATGTTGTTTCTAGATAAAAAAATATCTTTTATTTGGAAGAAAATAAGTAAAGAAAAAGGCTGGGGATACAGGAAGGGTAAAGGGATAATGTACCACGATATTCCGAGTCAACATCCCTACCCCCAAACAGCATGAAGCCACAGCAGTCAAGACCATGAGACCGATTCTACTGTGGTTTCCTACTCCCTAGATGCCGATTAACCTTTGGTCCAGCCTTCTCTGGACAGCTCTGTGTTTCAGGGGTATGGAGAAATTACGGTTAACTCTGACCTGGTACGTGGTGGTATATCTTTATTCTGGAAGATTTTTCGAAGGCTAAAGTGAGGGATTCCTTCCCCTTGAGCTTCTACAGCTCAGCATCCTTCCACCTTTCTCTATAAAACACACCTCGTCTAGCAAAGCAGTGTACATAGACCCAGGATTGTTCAAACTCAAACACTATACAACTCTCCAAGAAATCAGAGGTATGTTCACTAACTCAAAAAGCAATAGCTCCAAACACACAGCCTCATCTGTCTCACCCCATGCGGCCCTTCGAGGGGGTCTAATGTCTGTAGCAGAGTTATAGGTAGATAACTAAATAGTTTGCTGCTTTCAAGTTAGCTCTGACAGCTAGCTGTCCTGTCTTCCAAATCTTTGCTGGAGGATCAGTTTTACTGCTGCAGAATTCAACATGGGCGAAACTCAGCACATTTCCTTACCTGATCTTGGACCATTGCTCCGCCGAGAGCCCAGATGGCAGCAAACACAAAATAAAGCTCATAGATTTCCCTGGGGCAGTCCACAGGGATGTCCTCCTTGGTCAGAAGACACTCCAAAAGGTGACATACCATCTGAACCGTGCTCTGCTCTGGGATTGGAATGATCTTCTTGAATCTGCAAAGAGAGACCAGGATGTGCCCTGAAACACCGTGCGGATCCCATTCTAGAGGCGATGTTGGAAGCCACTCGGTTGCAGGGAGCTCGTGACTTGTTGAGTTCTTTGGGATTACGGAGACTACAGTGCCACTTAGGCCTTTGCTGTCATCAGCTATTCTTGGGCTGGCTTCCTTTGCAGGCCAGTAAGGGCCTGAGCCCTCCTGAGAGGTCCCTTTCCTCATCCCCTTTCCTCTGACACCTTCCCCTGCCCTCCCTTCTGTTTACATCCTTGGGGAATGTAGGCGGTTGCAACAAAACAAATAAATACCTCATGTTTTCACTCTTTCCACGATTTCTTCAATTGTCAAAAGGCGCCTAAAAGGCAATTTGGGTGTAACTCTGAGGTCCTCCCTTTCACTTCTTCCCCCCAGAGGTTTTCCTCCAACTTAAACACACTTAAACATGCTTTCTGGGGCCAGAGTCTTATCTGGGGCATCGTGAGGACCAGGACAGATGGTTATTTTATGCAATCATGATTAACTGAACAGAGTTCCTCATCTGAAAATACACCTCCGTGACTTTGCCCTGGCCTGGCATTTGTACTTTGCATTTTGGCTTTAGAGGTCTTAACTGAAAGGCAGATGTCAAGAGATGCACGGAAGACATCCTGTGCCCAGGGGAGCAGGAGTGTGCACATGTGCATGCACTCATACACACACACACACACACACACTCATACACACACAAACACACACGCTTTTCTGTCCTTGGGTACCCTCATCACACCATGTGCATACGCAGCGTGCACCACGCACCCACACACTCAGTCCACATCATCACCCCCGGGGGTCATGTGCTCACAGGCTGCATGGAAGGCAGAGTCACTGTCGTAAGACGTGCAGCCCCGTCAACGCTCACCTTCATGGCCGTTTACCAGCACTGGGCCTTGGAGTGGCCTGGCATGCCATTCTCGCCAGTGTTTTGCATTTTCTGAGGCCAGAAAACAATAACCTAGTTGCAATCTCTACAACAACACTGTGACACGGTCTAAGAGCCCAGGTATTACTTCCCTGAGTGATAAGAAGACGGACTCCTTGAGGGGCTGTCTTTACTCGTTTGGCGCATATTTGTGACAGAGTGATGTTGATAAACGGCTCTATCTCAGGCTCAGTGCTGGACGAGGCACCAAGACAACACGTGCCAACGGCCCTTATGTTCCAAAAAGAGATTCCAGACAACCTAGGTGGGACTTGCAAAGGGTTTTGTGACCAGGCCTCTCACCCTCTGGAGGGTATAGAGGATCCAAGTGGGAGACGCTGAAGGGGCTGGAAATCAGCTCTCAGGAGACTGGAGAGAGCTCTGGGTGTACACGTGTCCCCTCACATGGGAAGGCAGCTGCTCTCCCCTAACGGCTGGAGAAAGTGGCTCCCATAGGACCACTCCGAGCCAGTGCAGGACCACGCCTGGAAAATGCTAAGGAGACTCTCCCACCTCACAGTGGAGCGTAGAGAGGCGCCTTGCTGGGGCATCTTGTGCTCTAGTTTGTCAAAGCAAAGGAGGGGCAGGTCTTTCCTGGATTGCAGGTGTGGGCTGTGGGCCTGAGGGGTTGTCCCAGTGCTGGCGTAGGGGCCGCCTGGCCGGGGAGGCGGACAGGGCTTGTGTGAGGAGCAGTGCATGACTGGCTAAAGACAGTCAGTTGCTTTCTTCAAGAAATGGCAGATAGGAGATCTCCAGTGACGAGGGGGGGTCCAAGGAGCTCCCACAGAGCCGGAGTCAGATTTCAAGACCTGCCACAGTAGGGTAACGAGGCCACGCCGGTTCCAGTGCGGAAAAGGCCTCTCCTGCCCCTTCCTCTCTTCTCTCTGAACCCCTCCAACCCTGAGGGGTCAGAAGCCACAGGCAGGGAGCAGGTCACTGGCAGAGTAAGGAGAGAAGTCGAGACGCGCCCCTTCCCCACTGCGGCCTGAGCTTTGGGTGGGGTAGAAGCTTCTAGGGCACCTGGAATTTGCTTCTTTAAATTTTCCCTGGACTGACACATGCGAGTGTGTGTATGACTGTGACTAGAGGTGATCGGGTGTCTTTTTATCACCAAAGAGTGACCAGAAAGTCGTGGACATTGACCTAGATCTCATTCAGACACACACACAATTTTGAAGGAACAGCAGGGAAACAAAGTTGCTTTCTCATTGCCCCTTGTGGGGCCTGCCTGTTCAACAAACAGATTAATACATGTCGACATCGCAGGGCCTTATAGTAACAGGGCCACGTAAAGCTGGCACTACGATACCGTGACCGTGTAAAACAGAAGTAAGGCTTGGGGGTAAGTACCTCTGTTACTAACCAGCTGCGATGTCCGAGCGGCACCTGGGCCTCCGCGCCCTCCCCCGCGGGAGGTCAGCCCTCTTAGGAGGGCTGCGAGAGTGAAATGACACAGCGCTTGGAGTGGCACCCACAAATGACAGCTGTCACTGTTACTTTCCCTTGACAACCACGGTGTTCAGAGATGGGCGGAGCGTTGTCTCTGCTCGACTCTGCGTGGTCAGAATCCTCAAGGCTTGCTTCAGAGGCTTGCTCACGCACCGGTGCCCGCGTGCTCACACAGATACGCCAGGGTTTGGCGGCTCTTGCTCCAAACGCCCAGAGTGGGAGACAGCCTGACTTTTAGTCAAAGGATGTGTCGGACAGTTGTCTCAGGAAAAAACTAAAGCACAAGAAGAGACTATTTTCCTAAAACCTTACCCTGCTCTGCTATTTTAGTCTTTGCCGTCCTGGCGCATTTGTGTCACTCGCCACTGTTTCCCACGCCCAGGCTTGGTCGGCTAACCGGGAGCTTTATCCCATTAGACCCCAAGGCCACAGAGCCCAGGGGCCACCAGGGCCTGAAAGCTTTTCAAAGGCTTATGAAAATGTTGATATTTGGAAAAATAATTATTGATCCCGAAATATAAAATCTATGGAATCAAAATTAATAAATGTTTCATTAAATATCTAAAATATGCCACCACATCAACTATTTAACTGCAACTTGCTTTTTAGTTATACAAAATTCACTTTTAATGAGGGTGATTTCCTAGGGCGGGATGGGCCACATGGAGTCGGTACGTGTGGGGCGCCCCTGCAGCGTGGCTGCCCACGGTCTGCGGTGCGCCCTTCCTCTCGGCCTCCACCATTGTAAGCAACTGGAGGCTCAACCATATCCCATGCTTGACAGGCCAACAAAGGAAGAGCCAGGGATCAACGTGAGTGATGGGCTTTAATTTCTAGGAAACAAATCCTGACCCTAACCGTGGAATCTTCCAGAACTATGGAGCTCTGAGTCACGTTGCCCTCACAGCACCAGCTCTGATGCCCTTTCTTGGCTGCACAATAGGGGCGGGTGCCAGATTCGTGGAATGATGCATCAAATGGCAAAAAAAGAGAGTGTAAAACAAAAGCAGTCTCCAAGCATGGCAAGCTGTCTGTACCAACACATACGGTACTCTCGTGTAGTAAGTATTCTCTCCGTTAAGAGTGACTGATCTCTTGTTTAAGTGACAGGTGGTCAGGGCTTGTTGCTTTTACTTTTACAAACCCATAAGAGGAAAAGTGAACTCGCGATGGCCAGCGTGGCAGGACTGGTCAAACGGCGCATTATGCCCAATCCCACGTTATTTGGGCCATGAGCACACACAGCCAGGAACAGGGAGTGGGCTCCACGTGTCACCGCCAAGTGTCATCTTCACTCCAGGCCTGTTGATCTGGCATGTGGATCATTTGCAGGAGGGCCAGCTCTTGCCCTACGCACTGGAGGATCGAGTCTCCAGATTGTTATCTGATCTTGCAGCCTACAACCTCCTTCTGATACACCCACGTGGCACTCATGAAAGGCACTTTAAATCTTTCTCCTCTTCACTCACCTCCCTTCTTGCCTGAACCGACAATAAGCATCCCATGGCCACCCCAATGTGTGTCCCACTCGGCCATCTGCCGTGCCTGGAGGGGATGCCCTGGGAACATCTGACTTCGGGGACAGGACAGAACATCAGCAGGTCACCAGGTATGAGCCAATGGGCTCTCCATTGCTGCTTTATCTCACTGCCTTCCTTATTTCCTGGCCTACCTGGTTCTGAGTGTGTCTAAGCAGGTTGGAAGGTACTTGTCAAACAGAATGGTCAGGTTGGCTCTCTCCGTCTGGAGCTCTCTCTTGTCAATCCAGCTGCTCACCAGAGGATTCCACCCCAGGTCTGCCGGGTTGATGTATAGGATCCCTGTGGGCACGGAGAAGACTTTCAGTGAATATTCCATACATATCAGCACATTTGTCACCCCAGGGAGTTATTTTCTCTGTTTAGAAAATGTTCAGAAGATTGGACTTAAAAGAAACAGTGATCTAGTCCAGGTCTGAGGGGCTGATGGGTGTGTTATTGAGGGCCAACTCCAGTTGACTGAGGATGGGTGGATGGAGAGAGCAGTGTTGAGAGGATCCCAAGGCCAGATTGAGGCTCAGGAGGAAAGCAGGCTGTGTTTGGTCAGAAATACTTGTCATGGGAGTGTGGGAGTGTGCAGTGAGGACCCTCCAAAAGATAAATCCACGTCCTATGTGTGGCCCCTGCCAATGTGATCATGTTTGGAAAGGGGCTTTTGCAGTGTAGTTAAGTTAAGGATCTTGAGATGGGGTTATCCTGGATGATCTGGGTGGGACATTTACAAATGTCCTTCTAAAAGACAGAAGGGGAGAGACGCACGCAGAAGTGAAGGCTATAGGAAGAAGGGAAAGGCTGGAGTTCTGGGGCCACAAGCCAAGGAACAGCTAAGCTGGAAGGTGCAACGAAGGATCCCTCCCAGAGCCTGGGAAGGGAGCACGGCCTTGCTGAACTTGATTTCATGTGTCTGACTTCCAGAAACATGGCAGAATAAATTTCTACTGTTTTAAGAGCCACCAAGGTTATGGTCATCTGTTACCCTTGCAAGAAGAGCCCTAGGAAATTAATCCAGAGTGGGGGAGGCAGTGCTCCAGGCCCATGCTCACCAGCATGGGCACAGGGCCTTGACAGGGAATCGACGTTAGGGCAGAGACCAAACCAGTTCACTTCTTAAATTATTGGTTTTTACTCTTTACTGAATTTTATCTTATGATTATTTTTTAAAATATTTTAACAGCTTCATTGAAGTATAATTGATAAATGAAAAAGTGCACATATTTAGTGTATACTATTTGATGAGTTTGGGTGTATACATACACCTGTGAAACCATCACCACGATCAAGGTAATAAACATATCCATCACCTCCAAGTTTGCGTGTGTGTACGTGTGTGTATGTGTGTGTGTCTGTGTGTGGTAAGAACACTTAGCATGAGATCTATCCTCTTAACAAATTTTTTTAAGTATACACTACAGTATTGTTAACTACGTTGTACAACAGATCTCTAGAACGTATTCATCCTGTATAACTGAAACTTTGTACCCATTGAACCCCATTACCCCTGCACTCAGTTTCTGGCCACTACTATTCTACTCTCTGCTTCTTAAGTTTGGTCATTTTTTCAAACAATTCTTTTGATCCCCTAGTCTCTGCGAATACATTTGGTTGGTGGAGACAGAGAAAAGTTAAGGTCTGAAGTTGCCATTCTGCACGAGGAGTTAGTAAGAAACCGTGATGCTTAGTCATCTCCCTGGACATGGCTTTGAACTGGCTTAAAACTGGCCTAATTTGAGACACTTCTGTGCAGAGGACAGTTGTCCGGCTCAGGAACTATTTCCCTTTCTGAATTAACAAAACCACATGGCCCTGACCTTACAGCACTTGCTTGCCCTTGCGGGTGTGGGTTGGGGCTGAGCACTAGGCCGGGGTTTTGGACGATCAGGTTTCTGGCTCCAGTTTGGATGGAGCTTCCTTCTGAGCCAGCAAAACTATGTGTAAGGCTGGAGGCACCTGTTTAACCCAGGCAGCCTGGCATGGCTCTCCCTTCTCGGGCTGTACCTGCTCTGGAGACAGTGGCTGGGGTGGCCGTGCGCAGGTGGCTGATCTCGAAGAGGAGCCGCATGGTGGGGCTAAGAGGAATCCTCTCGTTGCTCGCCAAGGTCAGCACCTGGAAGCAGCAGGGGGGCACACGCCAGTGAGGAAGGAGTCAGGTGCCTTCCCGGGGGTGGGACTTGGCCAAGGATTGCGGATGGTCATTTTCTTCTTTGTGATCATAGGTATTTTCTAAATTCTCTACAATAATGCTCTCTCTCTTCCAGTACCCCCTCCACTCACCCTTGTGTGTGTGTGTGTGTGTGTGTGTGTGTGTGTGTGTGTGTTGAATCAGAAAAAAATTTATTTAAACAGTTTAAATTGATGTCAATGATTTGAATGAACTAGACCATATTGGAATAATGAAATGATTAAAAGAAAAGAGCTTAGGTTTCATATTACTACTGTTTCCTTTAAAGTAGTCCCTCTGGGAGAACATGCTTTTATTCCAGCAATTCTGTACATGTTGAAGCCATTTGAAAACTTCTAATCCAGATGTGATTTCTGAGCAAGTTTAGGGGCAGCCACTTTATTGGCATCCAGTTGTTTTTCACTGTTTATAAAAAATAAAATATTCTCAGTGGATAAATATTTTCCATCACAAAAGATGTTTGATAGGCTCAGACTATCTCTGACCCTCAGTTTCCTTATTCATAAAAAAGGAAAAGTAAAAAAGATTTGAATAGACGATTTAAGATTCCTTCCAACTCTAAATAATAAATGAGTCTACATGCAGAAGATTCTGAAGGAAATGACAACAATGGCAAAAAAATGGTGTGAGCCACGGCAGAGACGTTGAAATAAGCAAAAGTTGCTTGTGGGAAGGTCTCGGTTCTGTTTGTCCAGTAAAGACGCCAGTGATAGTGCCTGACTCTGGGCCAGCCATCATGCGGGATCCCAGTGTGTCTGCCACCCTGGGAACCAGCTGCATCGGTGATGAGGGATGACGTCGGGATTCCCCAACCTCGGTTACCTTGTTATCGTCCATGACAGTGTTCAGAGACTCAATCCACATTGGATCTATGTCTCCATCCAGTAGAATCCACTTGGGCCCATCATGGGTGATGTTGGCAAGCTCCCGCATGATGGAAGAGAACAATCCTAAAGGGAACCACCGATACCTTATTTTTCATTTCATTGTTAATCCTCTTTCTCTTACCATAGCTTTCCCCCTTCAGCTATACCCCTCAGAAAAAGCTGTGAATAGAAAAAGCAGATCAGACCTTACTCTACCAAAAGAACTGGACAGCACCCAAGGTGAGTGCTCTGGCAGAACTTTCTGTAGCACCCCATAGCACTAGCTTTTTAAGTGCTAAGGAATCCAGTGAATCATTTCAGCAAATGACTAAGACATGATGGAATTACATTTTTAGGTAAAGTTTTCATCCTTTGTAATTGCAGCCCTGGCAAATCTTGTCAAATGCAGGCTTTGGGGGAAGGTTCAATGTGATTCTAATTATCATTACATGAAATTTACATATTAATCTGGGCAGAATTGATTTTTATGATACTAAACCTCCCCAGTGAACAACATCACATCTTTTCATTTATTCAGATACTGTTTTATGTTCCTAATAAATTTAAAATATATATTTCTTTGGCTAAATGTATTGCTAAACTATTTCATAGTTTTTATTGCTACCATGAACGAGATTTTTCTCCCTCTGTATTTCCATATTTATTTGGCTACTGCTAGTATAGAGAAAAGCTATCAAATCTTGTGTATTTATTTTATGTTCAGTTACCTTTAATAAATTTTCTTAATAAGTCTAGTGATTTTTCAATGTCTCCTGAGTTTTCTAGGTATAAAGTTGCATAATCAACAAAACAATAACTTCTTTCCTTTCCTCCAAGTTATACCATGTATTCCATTTTCTTGTCTTACTGCATTTTCTAGAACCCCAATAAGCAATGTAGAATAATGTTGATAATAGGCCTCCCTGACGTGTTCCTGATTTTAATGGAAACAGCTTTAGTGCATCATTACTCAGAATGATTTTGTTTTCCTTTCAGCTTTAGGTACAGAGTACTTATCATATGTTAGGGATTTCCTTCTATTCCTATTTTACTTAGAATTTTCTATTAGGAATGGCTATTGAGTGTTAAGTATCTATTTATTGACCAAGCGATTTTGTCCTTTGTCAGTGCTTTATGTTAATACTTTAAAAATATAATTGATCTATTCTTACATTCCTGGAATAGATTTTACTTGGTCAAAGTAGATTATTCTTTTGAGATACTAAATATTTTATTTAGAATTTCTGCATCTATATTAATAAGATATAATTTTATTATTATTAATTATAAAATTGGGATTTTTTTTGGTTCTAAGATAAAAAGTAATATTAAGATTATTCCAGTTTCATAAAATGATTTGAGAGCTATCTTTTTTATAATTTTGGAATTATCTGTTTTTTGTTCTGCTACTATCTTTAAATTTTCCTTTTCATTAGTTTGCTCAAGTTTTCTATTTATTATTGAGTGTATTTTGTTAATTTATATTTTGCTAGGGGGTCATCTGTTTCTTTTAGTTTTTCAAATATGGTCATCTAATTAGACATTCTCTTCTAATTTAATCTTGTCTACATCCACTGTTATATCTTCTTTCTAATTCCTAATCATACATATTTTTACTCTATTTTCCCCATTAATCATGCTCACAATGGACTTATTGGTCTTTACAAAGAACAAATATTTATATTTATTTATCTTTTCTGCAATTTTTTAATGTTTCTTCTGACTAATTTTAGCTTTTACCTTTATTATTTTCTTTTTCCTCATTTTCTTTAGGTTTAGTAACTTCCTTTATTTCCAGCCTACCTTTAAAATAAAGCAAGTTTAAAGTTTTTCCTTGTAAGTTTTAGATGGATCCTATCCTTTTTGTATGAAGCATTCTTTTCATTGCTCCCCAGAGGGGCTGCAATTTAATTTCTTTTTGACACAAGGGTTAAGAGAGCATTTCTTGATTTGCAAGTAGTAAAATTATTTTTGGCTATTTTCTTGTTGTTTCTAATTCTATTGCATTTATTATCAAAGAATATGACCTTTAAATTGATACTTTTGAATTCATTATAGCTTCCTCTGTAGCCAATTAAATTTTTTGGAAATGTTCCATGAACCAAACAAGGAAGGAATATTTTCTTTTTATAGAACACAAAGTTCTATAACTTTGTGTTACATTGCATATGATGATATTAATATATTCGGCAATTCCTCTATATATGTACTTATTTTTCTGTGTACTGGAACTATCCAATTTTGAAAAAAGACAATTAAAATAACCCACTATATCTGCATGCTTTCAAGTTCTCCTAAAAAGTTTTAAAAGGCTATATTCCATTTACTTTGCACTTATTCAGTGAAAACAGATTTATGATTATTATATCTTCTTTATCAAATTCCCCCAATGGAATGTATACATTTAATAAAATTTTAATTGGAATTCCAACAGAGTTGACATCATATTATTGAGCTTAAATTTAATATGAAAAAAGAAGTGCTTGAGACAAGTCAAGAAAATTGTAAAAGATTACTGGAGAGGGACTTACCTTATCAGATATTAAAATATGTTATAAAATGATTGTAATTGAAGTAAAATGACATTAGTATAGGATGAGATAAATAAGTGAGTGGAACAGCATAGAAAGCCCAGAATCAGATCTCAATACACATATGGAATTTAATAAATGACAAGCTGGTGTTTACATTCAGAAGGAAAGGATGGTTTACTTAATAAATGGTGCTGTTACAATCAATTATCCATCTGGAAGGAAATAAAGTTGATTCTCTATCCTACCTCATACTAAGCCCCAACATAAATTCCAGATGGACAAAAAAATGTTAATGTAAAAAGAATCCTTATCGACCAAATTTATGATACTATAACTGCAACTGAAAATTAGAGTTATAAACTAAATAGAATCCCGCATGCTAAAAAGATTAGACAGACATAATTTCCATTTTTAAAAAGTGCGTGGCAGAATATGCCATGAAATTTCTGTACACGAAGGATAGGTGGGGGGAACATTAGCAACGCATATGACAGATAAAGGGTTAATGTCTTTGATATATGAAAAACTCTTATGAACTGATAAAGAAGCCGGGGGAAATAAAATCACAAAAAGACATGATACTAAGACCAATAAGAAGGAAAGAAGTCAAGCCTCATGAATAGTGAAAGACAAATTAGAAACGCTGCTTGTTCAATCCCCTGGTTCTAGGCCTCTGATGGCAGGTCCTAAATTAGAGAAATCCAGGCAGTTTGACCGCTATGTAGTCAGACATTGAAATGTTAGGAGGGAGCTGAGATTTCCTCATTCCAGAAGCCACATAGGTTTTAGAAAGAGGTCTCTATCAACTCATGGAGTTTTCTCCGTTTCCTTTCTGTACTTTTCCACTGACAGAGGACCCTTAACAACGTCTGTTTGTCAGTGATACTTAGCTCTTTGAAGGTGATGCTGAGATCGCACAGAGTGAACTTGGGTTTGGGGTCCTCTGAACCAACATAGAAGGGATGTAGTTCTAGCAGTGTTCCTGGGATCGAATGGACATGTATCTTCAGTGTCACCAGGGGCCTGGCATGGACACAGGGTTCTGTAGCATGTAGTTTTCCCATCACTGCTGGGGCGACCCTGATGGAGGGAGAGGTGGCTCTGTGGGATGCTAGACTGCACCACTTCTTTGGTGACAAGCCGTGGGCTTCCCTACCCCAGGGCACCTTAAATCCACTGCCAGGCAATGTGGCAACTCTACAGCATGGCTTGTGCTCCAGAATCAGTAACCTACTGAATGCTTGCCCTGCATTAGCCTCTTTAAATGCTCCTCTAAAAGGCAGCTGGGAGATGTCTCTTACCATCCTTCCATTCTCGTGTGGCCGGATTAATGATGCCAAAGAGCTCATCATTTGTGACTGCTTTGGGATTGAGGTCAGTCCAGACGGGGCGGCGTTTCATCATCTGATAGGTCTTGTGCAAAGACCTCAGCACCTGTGACTTGCCGGTGCCAGCGCTGCCCACCACGAACACGGAATGCCGCACTGCCAGGAGCTCCTCCAGCTGGACCACCTGGGGAGACAGGAAATTCAGCCAGAGGGACCAGCCTGGCACTCACCTGCATCCCAACTGCTCTCCTGTGAGCCAGGCTGGTGTCCGAAGTGAGACCTGAAGTCAACAGAGGAGAGGTTGTTCACCCCGAGATGTGATGGGGTCTGAAATGTGGGAGTAACAGGATCCGTTTGGTCATATAATTATTAGTCATCAGGTAAATGCTAGAGAGTGGACCAGGTGAGGGAGATGCAGAGGTGACTCTCCTGCCCTCCATGATCTTACAGTCTGATGGAAAAGAAAGTCATATTGACAAATCACTGCAACATAAGATGACAAGTGCTAAAATAGAGGTATTTGTAAAGTGCTGTGGAGACAGAGAGGAGGGAACAATTGATTTTGTGCAGATAAAGGGAAAAAGGCTTCGTAGAGGAAGGAGCATTTGAACAGGGGCTCCAGGGATGGGCAGGAGTTTGCCTAAAAGGTGTACAGGAAGACACTCCCGGCAGAGGTAACAGCACAAAGGCTTGCAAGGTGACAGAGCATGATGTGGTTGGCCAGATGGTTTGATGAGTCAAGAAGTCCTGTGGGGACAAGGGTAGCACTGAAGGTCTCATCACCCTTGGTGTGGCTTGCGTCCAGGCTCGGCTGTCCAGGCTGTTGCGGGAGTACACCTGCTGGAACAGAAATCTGATCACTGCCGTCTATCACTCTGTCCCTTCAGTGGTTTTCCAAGACTTTGGCCAGGAAGTCCCAAATCCTTAGACTGGCTTACAAAGCCCTCTTGCTGTCTGGCCCAAACCAGCCTACAGTCTTATCTGTCATTCCCCGACACACGCAGTCCAGCCAGACGACTACCGTTCAGTGGTGTTCTTTCCTGTGTCTGTGCCTTCAACACGCTGTGCCTTCTGTTCAGAAGTTACCCTTTCTCCTGCCTTCTGCTGTTCAGCCCCTGTACACTCCTCAGGAAGCCTCCAGCCTGGGGTAGGTGTCCCATGCATGCAGCCTACTTCCCAGCACCTCACAGTACTGCAGCGGTTAACTCTTCTGTCTCCCTGTTCGATCGTCAGCTCGTTGAAGGCAGGCAGGGCTGGGCTGCTTCTCTCTCTTCTTCCAGCGTCTAGCAGAGAATCTGGGACGTAGCGAGTGCTGAACAGGTATTTGCTGAAAATGTGAAGGATGGCCAGAGGCGTTGGATGGGCCCAATCATGAAAGGTCTTGTGTACCAGGAACAAATACATTTGAATTGTATTGCAGATCAGGTTTCTTTGTATTTTGCACTATAAGATCCTTAGCAGGGGAAAAGTAAACCAAAAACACAATGCACCAAAATGTTGACAGGGCAGTGGGAGAATGGAAAGTTTTTTCCCATACATTTAATTTTATTTATTCTACACCTAAAAATGATGATGAATAACAACTCCTATGTTTTTAAAATTGATGCAGGTGTTAAAAAGAATTCTAGAATTGTACAACCAGAGAATTGGAAGGAGAGCAGTAGTGTCAAGCTCAATGTGAACGTAACAGATAAATGGCTGTTTTAGGGCAAGATGATCCGTTTGGCTGTGACATGATAATTTACTGAGATACTGATTTGTGCTTTGTTATCCATAGCATCAGTATTTTTTTTTTCTTCTCTATCCCAAGGCATTGCTATTCCTATGATTCAGGCCCCCAAACACCTAAAGAGATTCTCAATCCTGGCTCTTGTTTTTTCTCTTCGATGACTTAGCACAGAATCTTCCCAGAAAGGAGGAAGGAGGAGAGGGTTGGGAAGGGCTTCCAAGGAGGTGATGTTTAAGCCCAGATGCGAATGGAAAAATGTCAGCCCTGCAAAGGCCTTTGGGTAAGGCAGTCCTGGTAGAGCAACAGCAGGTGCAAGAGCCTAAAGGCCAGCATCCAGCTTGGAGGGCTGAATGAATAGGAAAAAAATTGGGAGTGCAGCACAAGATGAAATAAAGGCGCAAGCAGGGGCCAGAGACGCAGGAATTGGGAGCTGGAATTTCATCCTATTATAATAGGAAACCATTTGGAAGATTTTACGCATAAAATTGACCTGACGTCATTGCATTAAGGAGAGAGAGAGAGAGAGAGAGAAAGAGAGAAAGAGAGGAGAAGGAGAAAGAGGAAAGGGAAGGAAGGAAGGAGGGAGGAGGAGGAGGAGAAGGTGGTGGTGCTTTGGCTCCTGAATGGAGATTGGATTATATTCCTAGATTTTTGTTGGTTTGCATGAACAACTGACTGAAAACAGGCACCGTACCCTGATATCCCTTTCTAGATCCATCAACTTTTTGAAAATTTCTTTCAGCAGCTTTATTGAGATAGAATTCGTGTACCATAAATTTACCCTTTTAAAGTATACAGTGCAATGATTTTTAGCATATTCGCAGAATTGTATAGCCATCATTACTATACAATTTTAGAACATTTCATCATCCCCAAAGGAAACCCCAGACCCATTAGTAGTCATTCCCCACCCCATTCCTATCCCAGCCTAGGCAACCCCTGGTCTACTTCCTGCCTCTATAGATTTATCTATTCTGTAAATTTCACAGAAATAGAATCATACAGTATGTGGCCTTTTCTGATGGTTTCTTTGACTCAGTGTGATGTTTTCAAGGCTCCGCTATGCTGTAACATGTATCAGCACTTCCCTTTCTCCCTCCAACTTTATTAAGTATAATTGACAAAGACAAATTGTGCATATTTACAGTGTACAATGTCATGTTTGGATATATGTGTACGTTGTTGAAGTGATTAAATCAAAGTAATTAACATATTCATCACCTCACATACTTATCACTTTTTTGTGGTGAGAACAACTAAGAGTTATTCTCTTAGCAATTTTCAAGTATGCAATACATTATTATCAATTTAGTCACCATGCTGTCCAATGGATCTGCAGAACTTATTCATCTTGTCTAACTGAAACTTTGTATCACCCTCACGGTCACACCCACAATGATGTTTGACCAAATATCTGGGCACCCTGTGATTCTGTAAAATTGACACAAAAAATAGCTATCGCAGTCCTCATAACTTAGAAGTTAAATAAAACACACGAGAACTCTCAGCTTGTTAGTCTAGCCTGGCTTTGAATATTTTCATTCTTCTTGAGAACCTCTTTTTTTAGAGACTGAGGATTTCATGCTCTAATTTGAATTGACTGCTGTCTAGGCCTGCTAATAACTGTCATTCAGAATTTATGTTTTGATTTTTGATTTCTTTGACTGCCATGACATTTTTCTTGTTTTTCATTCTAGTTTTGCTCTAGCATGTCCTCAAGTAATGTACTCAAAAATGGTGCATAAGAAGTAGAATTTATGAATCTCTGAAAGTACCTTGAATGATAATTTCATTGTACGGAATTGTGGTCTTGAAAGGATTTTCTTTCAGAACGATGAAGGAGTGGCTTCCTTGTCCTCTAGCATCCAGTGTTGCTGGTGAGAGACTCTGAGGTCATCCTGAATTTCATTCCTTTCCTGGAGTACTTGTGCTACCTCCTCCTTCCATTGCTTACGTAGGAAACTTTTACTCTTTTCTCTTGACTCTTGACTTCTGAAATCCCACTATGATGTGTCATTGTATAAGCCCATTTAAAATCATTCTGTTATGTACTGTCTTCCCAATGTGTACACATGTCTGTCCAGCTCTGGTGAATTTTCTCTGTTCATTTTCTAGTATTCTTATTGGTACCATGTTGGATAACCTAGACGGATCCTCCATCTGTCATTTTTCCTCTCGCACTTTCTGTCTGTGCATGCACCTGCACGTGGGTTACTCTACACACACACAATACATGAATACTGTCTATAGTTTCATCCCGGGAGATTTTCTTGACTTAATCTTCCAATCCTTTCTCTGAATTTGAGTGTCGTCAATGATACAATTTCACATTTCGAAGAGTTCTTTACAATTCTGCAATAATTCTTTTTTCACAATAGCACCTAATTCTTGTTTTATGGATATCATTTTATTTTCTTCGAGAACACTAATTAGAACTTTTAACATGTTCTCTTTCTTATTTTCATGGTATCAGTTGTGGTGGTGGTAGTGGTGTGTGTGTGTGTGTGTGTGTGTGTGTGTGTGTGCGTACGTGTCTTTATCTCTCACATTGTCGGTGTTCTCCAGTATCTGGTAAGCCTCAAGTTTAAATTAAGAGCTGCACCGTGTTTTCCAGGGGGCTGGGATGGGTACTCTCCTTTGCTGGTCCCGTGGGTCTCTTTCCAGGGTAGGAGGATTGAGTGGAGGCCCTGTGGACATGGCCAGATCTTGGCCTCTGTCTTCGTCCTTTCATTTGTGGGTGGGAGAGCAGGTATCTGGCCTTCGGACTGAGGGACCCCGAACAGAAGGGAAGGGCTGTTAACTGGGGTACCAATACCCCAAGAGCAGGCCTAGTTTTCCCCAAAGCATTTAATACATTTTCTTGAAGACTTTTCCTTTTTCTTTTTGGCCTCAGGTTGAATGCCTGGCTGTGCAAGTTTTATCTACATTACTTGGGATTTGGGGACTGGAAGGAGGTACTGGGAGAAGACTGTGGGGAGCCATGTTGCAAAATTATAGTGCTGACAGACTTAATGACGTCCCTTTGGCTAATTTCAGTTCTCTTTCTTGTTCCCACCCTCCTAACTACCAACTTCCAGCCCAGAGCTTCTCCAGGGCTCTGCCTGGGAGAACGCTGCCTCCTGGCCCCTCTTCCCCAACCATTTTCTGAGCATGTTCTGAGCCCAAAGCCTCTCCACTCTGCTGATCTGTCAACTCACTTTCACCCTCTTTCCAACTTTCCACAAATTTATTATAATATCCTCTTCCCAGTTTTCATACCTCTATGAGATTATTCCTTTTTTTTTAAAAAATAAATTTATATCATCACTTTTAAGGGATCTCAGGATCCACCTCAAACTAGAACATCATAAGGCAGTTTTTGATGAATTATTTTTCAGAAGTTTAAGTGACAGTCCAAATGAAAACTGGGTAGAAATATCAACTTTTAATACAGAGCATCTGCCTTATCAGAATAGCAGAGAGCAGTTATGAAAAGGAATAGAAGGAAAAGAAGGAAACGGAATGTGGCCCAATTGACAAGTAAGTGGAAGGAAAGAGGAAGCTTCTGAGTAGGAAAGAGACCCAGAACTGGGGCCAGAGTGTCCGATGGCCTCATCAGACTCCCAGAGAGTCTGGGAAGATGTGGACGGTCCTGATTCTAAGACACGATCCTCAGCGCACAGCATCTCATGATCCTCACTGAATTCGACTCATCTCTGGGGTGGTGGCACCCCTTAGGGTTAGAGTCTTCTGGGGAAAGCTCTCAGTCTGGCATCCAAGGCCTCTGTGTCTTGGTCCCATGTTATCTTTTCTCAGTCCCCCCTTGCCATGTGTCTCAATACATTCATAGAATCTGGGGGTTGGGACATGGGCATCTCTGGGAAGCAGTACCTTATTTTGCCCACCACTCTAAGATTTGTTCTTTAATTTGTAAGAAAGCTTAACCCAACCACTTAGAAATCTTTATGGGCTCAGAAAAATTGCATATGAGCCAACATGGCTTCCATGTTACACCACTGTCATTCCTCTAGATCTGTGTATGGAGCAGTGCATGTGAAAGGAACAGGTGCTGTAGAAGAGCAGACTGTGTTTGTCTTACTTTTCCCATCTGATTCACGAGCTCCGTGATGGGGCTCCTCCATCTCTCTCATATTTCCTGCCATGCATTCCACATTGTGGGTCCCCAATAAAGAGCTGTTGAAATGAATTGAGTTATCTCTAACTAAATACATATTTCAACATCTAAAGCAACCCCCTTTGGATTAAGGATGAAGGACAAACCTTTGTCCAAGAAAAGAATTAAGAGACAAGAAATGTTTTGAGGGGAAACTTCGTGTACCTTGAGCACAAAGTTCTCCTCGGGCTGGAGCTTCAGATCCACCACCGCCTTCCTAACCAAAGCTTCGAAGTTGAGGTCTCTTCTCCGGGGAACATCCAGGGAAGGAAAGAGGTCCCCAATCAGGCCCATGAACACAGGCATGTCATCGGTCACAATCTTGGGGATGTTGAAGTCTCGCAAAGCGCGCATCAGGACTTGGTCCTCAGGCCGGCCAGGGTCCCCTCGCTTCAGGGATCCTGCCACCACAAGCACGGACTTGATGGCCCTCAGGCCCCAGTCGTAGTGATCCTGTGGACAGGCAACTCGGGTTAGACCAAAGCAAGAGGAGTGCAGAACACCATGTGCTGGGCCTAGTGTCTGCAAAATTATAGATACCAGATCAGTAGCAGGTCACTGCTGAAGCCCAGGCAGAGACAGGGGAAAGGATTCATGACTTAAAAATCGTGATCGCAGAATTCTAGTTCATGGCTTGGCATCGGCTATTTTTCCAGCTGTGATGACAACAAAGCAGGCACAGAACATACAAGGGGCTTGGAGTCAGAGAGATTAAATAGAACCATTCTCAAATCTATCCAGCTACTCCTCATGCATTTTGCAGGTGGAAGGGTTGTCAAGGAGAGAGCTGTGTTAGCTCTTAGAGATGGTACAGGCTGAGCTTACACATGTCACCTTGGAGGCTTTCAAACTCTATGAGAAAAGGGGTTTAAAAAGTAGTTCCCTAGAGTGGGTTCCTCGTCACAAGCACTGCTAGTAGAGTCTGCGGGAGAGTGGGCTGTACAGCTGACACCAGGCCCCAGAGCAACACGGTGCAGGGAGGAGGTAGGTGGAGGATGCAGACCAGAGCATGGAGTCTGAACTCAGACAGACCTAGATTCAAGTCCCAGCTCTTCCATTGCCTTTGTAGCAGATGGTTATTTAGTTAGAGCTGTGATAAATGCTACAAAGGGAAAAATCCAACGTGCAATGAAGTCAACACAGTGGCCGTACCCGAGTTGTGGATCAGACTTCCCTAAAGGAAAGGCATTAAAGAAGACCCAAGGGGGTGTAATTCAACCAGGCACAGATGAGAAAAGAGTGCAGTCAAAGCCAGAGGAAACAGGATGTCCACAGGCTTGAGTGAGAAGACAAGCAGTTTCAAGGAACTCAGGGAAGATGAATGCAGATGGAGCACCGTGCAACAAGGAAAGAGCCCTGAGCTGAAGCTGTCCAGGTAGGCAGGAGACAGAACAGCCTAGAGTCTTTAGCAGAGAGTAATCAGGACATTGGTCTTTATCCTAAGACCAGTGAGGAGCATGTTTAAATAATAACTAGCTGGTGGCTAAAGAATGGACTCAAGGATCTAGCGTAGAGGTGGGTAAGCTAGAGAGTCAGTTGTAATAGTTTCTGCAAGAGGCATGGGTATTTGGAACTAAAGTGGTGGCAATTACTATGGATAGAAAATGGGGCTTATTGGCAGATATCCAGAGGGTAGAATCAATAAACAGTTTGTTCATGATTAGATGTGGGGCTGAGGAAGAGGAAGGTGTCAAGGGAAACTCCCAGGGTTCTAGAATTAGCAAATAAGTTAATGGTGGGTCCACAGGCTGAGACAGTGAAGGCGGGAGAAGTGGGCTTGGGTGAGGGCTGGCAGAGATCGCTTTAGATGTGCTGGAGCTGGAGGCACTTTTTAAACACTCAGGGGAGCTGCTATCTAGACCATTTAATGTTCAGGTTTAGAGCTCAGAGGAGAGGTTCGGGATAGAGCCATACAAGTGGCCTGGAAGTCAATGGTGGAAAAGACTCTAGAGAGAATATCGAGAAAGGAAGTATGAAGAAAACAGGAGTTTCTCTATCTTGGACAGATTCCAAAGGGCTGAGGGGGCCATGTCACAGCAGCAAAAGCAATCAAAACAAGGTCACCCCAAAGGGAAGGCCGAACTCATTGGATACATCCCAGAGAAGCTTGGTCAGCTATCCTTGACACCAAGAAGTTCTCTATCCCTGGCATAGACCTTGCAGGGGCTCGGTCATGTTTTGCTAAGGTGCTATATCCTGTGAAGGGCCTGCCTTGGACAAAAGCTAGGCTAAGGCCAAGCAACAATGAGAAGCATGGGTTAGTTAATACCTAACCCTCTCACCAACTCCTCCTATTGCATGCCCTTCAGGTAGAGACCATTCCCTCCCGGGGTGCTTCTGGGCCACTGTAATGTTTCTCATGGGACATGGGATTCTGCGAGGTATTGCTGAATAGTCTATTAAAAAATGGGGTTCTGTGGTTAAATAATTTTAAAAAATGCTGAGCTATAAAATGAACATGAATCTTTACTGCAGAAATGCTCAGAGCTTTTAATATGTGCAGGTGCGCAGCGACTCCATGAGAGAGCTCTACTGGGGATGTTGCATGGTACTTGGGCATCCAACCCTCCTTGAGATTGTACCTGTTTAGAGAGAAGCTCTTTGCACAACTGGTAAAGAGTGATGAACTTTCTGGCTAATAACCGGGCTTCAATGAATCCTTCTGCCACCAGCATGATTTCACAGATTAACTCAAAGTCAGGAACAACCATTGCACAAGGCCTGTGTACAGGGAGACAGAATCAGTTTCCCAAGCCTAGAGTTGAAGGAGAGATTGTAAGAAAACAGACACTGGCTGAGATCACACTTGGAGGCATCTGTGAGGGCAAAAACTCCTGGAAGGACCTTAGAAATTATTTCATCTAAGACTTTCAATTTAGAGGTAAGTTAACTAAGGATAAAGGAAGTGAAGGCTATTGCCCAAGGTGATGGATAATGTTAGCAGGTAGGGGCAGAGTTGGTGCTGCCACTCAAATCCTGCCACTTGAGTTCAGTGTGCCTTACAAAAGGCATGGATTAATAAAGCAAGTTGTCTAGAGTAGATTAGGTGCTAAGACTGAGGACTTGAGTTTTTCCAAGTACCTACAAGAAACTGAGAGTTTACCTATTCCTCAACCTCAAAATGTGTGTCTCCTCCAAACCTAGATACCCAGAGCTTGTTCTGTGTTTATTTGCGTACAAATGTAAATTTTTAATGCTGAGATCTAAGGCAGGTACCTATTAACCCCTACCTTGACACAAAATGGTATATATGAGAATATAGAAGGGGATTTATAGAAGGATTTATTGTGATATTTTTCCTTTGGCACTGGAAACATTTAATTTTAAAATTGCTTATTTTTTATTAGTTTATTAGGTATGTAATAGGAGCCTAAGGTTACATTTCTTTAACTGCGTTTTTCCTATACTGATACAAAATTGTGAAAAACTTTTCATTTGAGCACACATTTTTTTCTTGAAATATTTTACATTGTACTCAAATTCAAAGAAGCATTCAAATACTTAAATCTTCAAAATTATTTTGTACCCTGAACATAAAGTTAAATAGACATTCATACAACAGAATGCAATGCAGCCATAAAAATATAATGCTGTAGAAGGAAAACTATTTGATAACATGGGAAAGATAATTGATGAAAGCAGGATATTCAACTATATAGAGTCCGATACTAATTTTGAACAAAGAAATGCTCTGCTGACACAATAGTGGAAGGAAAAAAAGTGCCCAATGATTACACTGATTATCTCTGCATGACAGGACCAGAGTGGCCCTGGGTTCAAACTCCAGCTCTGCCATTTACTGGTTGGGTTACTCTGGGGTTTGTACACTGAGCAATTTGCTGAATCCATCTGTTTTCTCACTGTACAATGGGCAAATTAATAGCATCCACCCCACAGGGCCTTTATGAGAATTCAATGTAAAAGTAGATGTTTATATTTATTGTTTCAAAAAATATTTTTCTGTTTTTTCCCAGATTTTCTTGCCTGGATATATGTTATAGACTGTTACGGAGTGAATGTTTGTGTGCCCCCAAAATGCATACATTGAAATCCTCGCAGCTAAGGTGTTGGTAGTAGGAGGTAGAGGCTTTGGGAGGTGATTAGGTCGTGAGGGTGGAGCCCTCATACATGGGAACAGTGTCCTTGTAAGAACTGGCCCGAGAACTAGTGTGCCCTCTTTCCGCCATGTGAGGACACAGCAAGAAGTTGGCTGTCCACAACCAAGGAGAGGGGCCTCACCAGAGCCCGACCACGCTGGCCTCCTGATCTTGAACTTCTGGCCTCCAGAACTATGAGAAACAAATGTCTGTGGTTTAGGCCATGGTCTGTGGTACTTTTGTTATAGCAGCCTGAACGGGCAAAGACAGTTCTTATTAAATTCAGAATAAAAAAGTAAGGAATAATTCCTATCTGAGTTATGCCCTACCTTCATTGTTATTTGCAACATAAGGCTTATTTAATGAATACATTGTATAACAAATAGCAGAGAATGCAGTATTGGGTGGCACCAGTTTAGACAGCTTGTTGACATTCCAACAGCTCTTGGTTAAAATGGGAACCTGCCTGAAGGAGGAGAGACCTCACCACTCTTGTGACGTAGGAATTTGCCACAACTGCAACAATTTAAGAGTGAGAGACTAAAGTACTCAGGGAGCTGCCCAGTTACCTCCCAGGTCTCTGAAAATCCACAAAAGTGTTGACAGCCTCCCCAGACAGAGAGCACTGGGTCTTTCAGTCCAAAACTGAGACAACATGCTTTGTCATAACTCCCTATGGTCTTTCTCTCTTAGGTAAAAGTTAAGTAAGCAAAAATCAGAAGCCACAAAACATCTTTCAGTTGTCTCTTAGTTGGGCCAACTTGTCTTTTCTGAAAAAGAAATGCAGCCTCTAGCTCCTGCTAGGAAATGTATTTGTGTTTTCTTATCAAAATAAAGAAGATTTAAAATATCCCAAGTAGCAAGGGTGAAATAAAAGAGGTGCTCCCAGGCGTCACTGCTGGGAGCGTAATTCGGTACTACTCTTTTTAGAAGGCAATTTGGCAGTGTGTATCAAAAGCCTTAAAAATGTTTCTACCCATTTACACAGTAATTCCACTTCTGGGAAGCTAGCCAACGAAAATAATCATGCATACAGAAAAAAAAAAGATTTATATACAAAGATGTACATTACAGCATTATGCATAAATTTATTTTAAATGTTAGAAAGTCTTAGTATTTAACCATGGGGGACTAGTTAATTACATTGTGGACCATGTGCTTGATAGAAAAATATGTAGCATGAAATGAGATTTATTAAGAATATCTAACGGAAGAAAATATTTATGATATGATTATGATGACTATGAAATGAAAAACAAAACAATATATAGGCCACAAGTGTAGACTACAAATGTATGAATTTAAAATACGCATATAAAGAAGAACAGAACACAAGCAAAAAATAGTTTTTTGACATTAAAGGCATTAAAGGTGGTTTTTAAAAATCTACTTTTTGAAATGTTCCAAATTTTCTCTAATATATGTGTCACACATATTCAGTGGGAAAATGAATGAAACTTTATTTCTTGGGGGCTCCTGTGTGGGGCAGAGCGGGCGCTCACCTGAAGAGAGCTTTGAGGTTCTCAGGCAGCTCCGTGCGGCCGGCGTAGCCTGGGTTCATGGTGATGAAGATACCCACAGAAGGATTCAGGCTAATCTCCTCCCCAAGGAAGTTGAACCGCTGCTTCTTATCTCTGATTGCATCCTGAATGCTTTTTACCTGGTGAACCAACCAGTGGAAAATCCTCCATTGCATTTCAGTGGTGAAGTTATAACTAAAACTGGGAACACACAGTCACCCGCAACACAAACAACTGATCTGGGGCCCCTTTCACTGAAGGACAGGCATGATGACCACACCCTGGACCATTCACTGAGGTGCTCTCGGTGCCTGTCTAAAAGACATCTGGCTGCCCACATCCATATTTATAACACTCCCGCTACGAGCAAACAGGTATTTAACTCCCTCTGAACATCGGTTCTCTCTGCAGTCGTAGCTGAAGTGTACTAGTCAGTGCACTGACCGTGTGTCGGGCACTGTTCTGAGCACTTTTCAGGTACTAACTCATGGGGGCCTCACCACGATCCTTTGAGGGGAGCACTTTACTCTTATCGTCCCCATCTCTCTATGACAGAAGGGAAGCATGGAGAGGTAGAGTAGTTTACCCAAAGCCACACTGCTGATAACTGGAGCGTCTGCATTTGAATCCAGGCAGATGGATTCTGGAGCCTGTGCCCTTAGCCACTGCATGGTGGCGAGGTTGCCAGTACCTACCACCTGGGCTTGTTCTATGGATTAAATGAAATAAAGTCTGGAAAGAGCTTAGAGCAGTGGTCCCCAACCTTTTTGGCACCAGGGACAGGTTTCGTGGAAGGCAATTTTTCCATGAAATGAGGGTG